TACGATTTTAAAAATAATTTGGAAATTCATGATGATTGTAGTGTAATGGAGGAAATATTAGAAAGTATAAATTTAATATGATTTAATTTGTTATCAGTTGTTAAAAGAATAACTACTTAAGTAATTGCTAATTACTTACTTTATTATTAATTACTATTTAATTACTTGTTTTGAAATAATTTCGTTAACAAATGTTTTTTATCTCTTTTTTCAAATTTATTCAAATTATATTTATTTTAAATATATACAAAATATATATGCTACAGAAAACAGTTCTTACAGTTTTTTCATATTTTGTACAAAATGTTAGTTTAGGGGGATTTAGGGGTTTTTCGAATGGCTTTTAGGGGGATAAAATTTTCAAATGTTGGCCACACTGATCGCACAACACTTTTGAAACATTTAAAATTAAATTTTATCATGAACGTCACCTTAAAATATTCAAAATATTTAATGAAATCAGATTTAATGTAAAATCGTCTTAACTTGTTGAAATGGAAAATTTTTATAAAAGACATATAAGGGACCTTAAAAAAATTAAGTATTAGTGAAAATGTCTTGGGAAAATAATAAATTACAATGCAATGTGTTCCATGCTAAATATTTATTTAGTGCAAATCAAAATCAAATACAGTATTCGCTTGCTCTTTTTAATGTTCGGAAATTCTGATTTTGAAGATAATTTTGAAGATAATTGGAGCTAAATTTAGTTTCTAAATAAAATTCTAAAATCTTAAATTTATTTTCAGTTCTTAGAATAGTTTTTATATTATAAATTAATTTTTTGCCAAGTGGCATATATGCATAGAGGCACAGACCGTGTTATTTAAGAAACCGAATACGTTACATATTCATAGCTCAGTATAATCTGTATGAATGCGTGTGAATATGATATCTAGAAATTAAGTAGAAATTAAATATCTAGATATTAAAATTTAATATTTAGATATTAAAAACTTAATTAATCTATTATCAAATTACTTAAGAATTGCGAGCATCTGCTGTAGTTCAGTTGTTGAATTTATCATTTTAGATTCAATCTATATTCCTGATCTATATTCCTATATCTATATTCCTTCAAAATCAGTCTTATTTTATGAGCAGCTGACATTAGAAGTGAAAAAATGGTCGATGACAAAGAAATAATTATAGACGCTCAGGGATTTTTCGTTAATAACAAGTTTATAGTTAAAGAATTGAGCATTTCTAAAAATGATAACTCGGAAATTAAGACGTTTTTAATACGATCACCTTACGAATATTGTAGCATATCATTAAAAGATAGGATTGCAGTCAATTGGTTATATAATCATCATCATGGTTTAAGGTGGTCAGACGGTGAAATTAAATTTATGGACGTTAAAAAATATCTATTAAAAGAATTACATTATAATGAAAACTCAACTATCTATGTCAAAGGATTTGAAAAAATAAGATGGTTAAAAAAAATGATTGGTGAAAATATTTCTATGACAAACTTGGATGATCTTAACTGTCCAAAATTAGATATACTATATATAACAAATATGTCTTCTAATAAAGAAGTGAAATATTGTCAAAATCATAAAATTAAAGAAGATTTAACAAATTTATGTAAATGTTCCAGAAAAACTGTAATATTACTAAGAAATTTCATAAATTTAAATATTGATAAATAAAAACGAAAAAATTATATGTATATGTATACATCAAAAATTAAAATAAAAACACGCAAATTTTTTAAAACAAAAGTTTCTTTTTATTTTTTTTATTTTTATATTTTATAGACTACAATATATATTAAAATTAAATAAAAAACATACAAAACTTTTTTTATTTTTTTTAATTTATTTAATACAATATGTATATTAAAATTAAAATAAAAAATAATAAAATAAAAATAAAAAAATTAAAATAAAAAAAACATAAAAATTTTTTTTTTTTTTTTTTTATTTACTTAAAACAGTTTATTTAATAAATAATTTTATCAACGTTATGCGTTGATAAAATCAAATATAGGATGAATATATCCTATGTCGTATTCATCTGCATATGTCCGAAAGACCTCCACAATTTTGCCAACACGTTTTAAGTACTTTAATTTTCCAGGATGTGCTATGACCTCATCTATAGCACTTGAATAGGCTCTCACCAAGTCAGGCGCATCCCAACATCCCGTTGCGAATTTGTCACCTGTCTTCCTCAGTATATTTATTAGATAGTCCTTGTCGATTACTTCATTTCTGCACTTTGAACAAATGGATTTGTTTCCGGATTCCATTGTAGTTGCTCTTTTGATTTTTTATTGAATTGTTAAACTTTTTGCTGTCCTTTATATACCCATTTTCAATTTCATATTACATTATCAACATCCGCTCTAAATATCGCCATTGTGATTTCTTGTTTTTTTTTTTTATAAAATTATCAACATCCGCTCTCATATGCAACTGTATAATTACCATACATTATCAACATCCGCTCTAAATATCGCCATTGTGGTTTCTTGTTTTTTTTATAAAATTATCAACATCCGCTCTAAATATCGCCATTGTGGTTTCTTGTTTTTTTTTCCTCAGTTCAATTAAAAGAACTCAAAATATTTGAAACTAAATTTTACTTTTCTATTTCAATAAATCCATAGCCTACTGGGTCGTCACAGTCTAATTCAAACGTATAACCACCCTGTACATCTTTTGCACAATAATGAGCTACTAAGAAATTGGTTCTTCCTAGATATAAAAATATTGGATCAGGATCTTTGCCCTTTAAAGCCGCTTTAATTTGTTGAATTGCTTTGCGGAAATAGAAAAACGTGCTTACAATTGATAACGTCACGCAGAACATACACAGATGGTTGACAGCGTCCCATTGACTCGCTAACGGCTTTCGCAACGACGAAACGAAATCAGTCTCCGACGATTTCTGCTTGAAGTCCGAAAGCATCTGCCCCGGAACACAAGGAGGATTTCCAAACATCTCTGAAGGACTAGCATTAATAAATATTAAAATATTGGTTCTTGCTAGATGCAAAAATATTGGAGCAGGATCTTGGCTCTTTAAAGCCGCTTCAATTTGTTGAATTGCCTTGCAGAAATAGAAACTCTTTTATTCTGTCGGTCAGTGCAGAATTCGTTTTATTTTCTTTACACTTTAAGATGTTTTCAACTTTAATACTTGCCGTGTCTGTGGTTCCATAGCAAAACCTCTGTAATACTTTCTACTGCACTTTATTACCTTAACAGGCCATGCTGCATAGCCTTGGAGTCTTGCAAAGAGAAAGTCTCCCATGTTGAACTGCCTCAACTGTTTTTTCTTTTTAGGCATATTTTTCTCAAACACACACAATATCAATTTCAAAGTTATATTTTATATTTATCTTATTTTAGGTAGGACCTATATTCTTCCAATTTATTTTCTCGCTACACAACACTACAACTACACAAAATATGTGCATCAGAATTGTGTTTTCTAGATTTAATTATTCAAATTGGATATTTCAAAGGGTTCCTTACTATAATCGGTTCATATTTATAATTTATATACCGGTAGTCTATTGAAGCTAACTGTTATATTAAATGTAATTGGAATAGCAAAATTTATTCATTATTATTAAATGAAATGATTTTATGTAAGAAACGTCTTTTACTAATGATACAATATATATGTTTAATATGATAATTAATGATAATTACAAATAATAAAATTTGGAAAAATAATTTTACATTTCGACTGTTTGTATAAAAACTGGTACTCTTTAATGAGTATTATTCAGTGTTATCCATGAATTTTTGAGATGAGGTGTTAGGGGAACGAGATTTTTAAATATCAAACATTCCTTATCAACCATTTTAAAGTCGATTTGACAGAACTAGAAATTTCTGAATTTGTTAACAGACTAATAGCATATTCACACTGCCTCATTTAGGCGCTTTTGCTCATTATAATCACTAATGAGGTTATATATGATTTACGATACAAAAATCTATCCTATAAATGAGCTGGTTGCCTATAAA